TGAGCCAATAGCGACACTTTTAATTTTTTGTTGTCGTTTAAAAGTGCCTTTCTGGTCTAATTGAAATAAATGGTTTTGACTTTGACTTTGACTTTGACAATACAAAATAGGGGACATTTAAAAAAAAATCAAATTTAAAAACGACAATGCTATGTTTCACTAGGGAATTGTACATGATACCTCAATCTAAATTATCAAATTCATGAATGTTCTAACAACATAACATACTCCTCACCTTAAAATTCTATTTACAATTCCATGTAATCATGTGGCTCCAGAAATAGGGTAAAAGTCCCAATAATGTGATCAACAAAGATTAATTACAGCAAACACGACACAGTAGGGTACATGCACCTGTATACGTCCTGCCCTTTGATTGAGTTCCTACTGTGAATGGACGACTATAATTAAACCAACTTCGCTATAATGGAATTGTTTTGTTATTTTAACCCTGTACCCCGTCAACGCCAATCCGCCTTGAGCAAGCTTTAATTATTATGGCTCATTCCTTCTCCGTGTGAGAGTCTTTGTACAGAAGTCGGACAATTATAAGCCAAGGATTATGTCATTGTGTTCTGTAACTTGAACCCAATACTTGTGCTTTGTACTTTGTGCCTTGTTTCTTACAAGATATAGCGTACAGATTGCCTTGTACCCTTTTTTTAAGGGTTAAGTCGTGAAATGAGTCCCCCGCCCAGTGTTAGGCGAGAGAGAACGTCAGACTCATACTGTACCCTATTTCAATTTGTACTCCAAGCTGGGGCCGCGGTACCATTATGGTGACTTACCCGCAGCCACGTAGCGTGTTGCCGGGACTCCGGATCGAAGCACTACTAGCAACGGGGTGGTTTGTAGTTAGTAAAAATTTTTTTGAGGAGATTGCATGAGAAGTCGTTGGTGATTTATCCGTTCACAAAAAATTCTAGGGCACCCTGTACCTTGTGGGACTAGGATGCTGTTTCCTACTTTTGAGAAGCAGTCATGCTAGCTAAGGAGGAGGCGGGGCGCATGATGCAGCGAAGCGCTGCCTCCTCACAACCCAGCCATCGCGAAGGACACTCCGGGCGTCGGGGATCGCGAGTCTCTGGTTCGTCTCCGCCATTTATACTTCTAAAGTATATCAAACTAAGTAACCTTTTCTACTAGCATTTATCCATCACAAACTGCACCATTACCCAACATACCCAACAAAGCGTGCTTCAATGCTCATAACAATAACTAAGTAAGTTTGCATTTTACACTTTCAGTGTAAAATCCTTTATCTGGACGACAAACGACAAGCCCGCCCTCTGGCGGTCGCCGGACGAAACTGTTTGCACGTCGCAAACCCTCGATATTGAGTTGGTCCAACTTTGCCTGAGTCTGGCTTCGAAACAAGATATTTGCGACTATGTCTGGATTAGAATTTGTTATTTTACTGTCGGGTTAAAATTAATTTTGTTGTAATGGGAGTTGTTGAACGGTGTTCAGTAAATAAATTTTAATAATGTAATTGTTTATCTTGACAATTTTTCAATTAGTCGTAAGTTTATAAATGTTATATACGCCTTCAGTAATCAAAACATAACGCCTTAAACTGTCAAACACCAAGCGGTCACCGGTGACCGCAACCTATTGTTCTATAATTGTGTCTATAATGACGGTACTCGACGAGTTAAACTGTCAAACACCAAGCGGTCACCGGTGACCGCAACCTATTGTTCTATAATTGTGCCTATAATGACGGTACTCGACGAGTTAAATAGTTTTGTAACATAATTCATAACTAGTTACTTCTAACCGGTTTCACCCGCTCTGCTCGGCTCCTATTAGCTGTAGCGTGATGTTTTATAGTCTATAGACTTCTTCGATAAATGTACTATCCATCACAAAAAATAATTATTCCCTTAATGTATCCTTGGCTTTATTCTACAGTTAAAACATAATTGACGATTGAAAAATTGGCCCTTAGTTACATTTATTAAAATGACGTAAAACATACTAATTATTGAAGATATGCCCGGTATATGGCAATAGACTCACCCCCTATCACATGGGACTCATAACATAAATAGTGAAAAGTGGGTGTTATATTGTACAGTGGCATTAAGTGTCGTAATGTGCACCTCTGCCTATCTCTTCGGGAGTAAAAGGCGTGATGTTATGTTCATATTAATTATAAAAGCAGAATTCCATTGAATGACTACTAGTAATGAATCCGCATCACAGCTCTATTTACACTTCACGGCGAGAGTGGCAAAATAAGAATGGATGAAAATTAATGGGTTTTCCTAACGAAAGGACTTTTTAATTTTGGTTTGATGAAAATTGTACAGGATGCTTGTTTTTACTCGTCATTCAGAGCGGGGATTATAGACGCATATGATTTACGTGGAGAGTTTTTATACATGGTGTTTTTTTACGTTTATTGTAATTTTTTGTTGTTTTTGGATGGGTTTATGGGAATTATAGGGATTTTGGAGCTGGATTTAATTTGGGTAATGAAGATTACTAATGTGTTTTTGGTTATCTTTTATAAATGCGGAAGTTTGTCTATGTGTTTGTTACTCATTCACGTCAAAACGGCTGAATGGATCGTATTGAAATTTGGAACCGGAATAGATTATGGTATCAAATAACACATAGGCTACTGTTTTATCCGGAATGTGGGCGAAACCGTCGGTAGAGGTTAGTGTGAAATAATTACGATACACGTGTTGCTTCCTCTATATATATACTCTTTAACATTTATGCCCCACACAATGCGGGCCAACCTAACCTGCGCGAAGATTTCATCAAAATCATTTCAGCAGTTACTGAGTTACACCTACCCACAATCTTGTATTATAACTATTGTGAGACATACTAAATTAATTATTATGTTTTTGGCTTACTCACGTAATTATTCGACGAGGACCTCGACTAGTTTCAAGCCATGTTAGATGCTCATATTCATGAGCAGCATTCCGCGACCCGCGACGCGGCGACTGTCAGTAGCAGTGCGACAAAATAATCACACAAATCTTCTACGTTTCAAATAAATTGTCATCAAAAAACCTCCGCGCAGTATTTACAACATAATTTTCTTTTACAATTTGATTCATGATACGAGTTATTTATTCTTGTAAGCAACGGAGCAGTAAATCAAGTAATATGGCTCCTGTGTTGGCATGCAACCAAAAGTATGACTTTCTTTGGAACACAGTATACACCGGGATTCAGGACAGGTAGATTAGTACATACCCAGTTATACACATATATTGAAATTAAGTTTTTTTCTTATTTTGCAGCACGTCTCTGTTGGTAAAGTAGAAGTTTATTTAGTACTAGCTACTTCCGCGCGGATTCACTCACTCTGCTCGGCGCCTATTAATCGTAGCGTGATATTTTATAGTCTATAGCCTTCCTCGATAAATGGGCTATCAAACACAGAAAGAATTTTTCAAATCAGACCAGTAGTTTCGGAGATTAGCGCGTTCAAACAAAAAACAAACTCTTCAGCTTTATAATATTAAGTATAGATGATAAAAGATGGAGCTATTACCTCAATTGTTTCTCTATGGGTAAAGACTGTTAAAAATAAAGATGCCGAATGGACGATTATCAGTTTATGTCACAAGAGATTAAAACAAACAAATTATTAAATAGTATTAAATGTACCTATTAGGGCAATCAACAAGGCAATAATAGACCTTAAATGTCGTTAGTTTAGTATTTAATGTACATTTTTGGTTAAATAAAAAATCTTTTGATTACAAAAGTAACACATTGAGTTTGTTTATAGTGGATTCTTAATAATTGGTCTTATACATAAACAGTGTAAGTTGATCTTTCAATATGCATCAATATAGTAATTCTACTATATTGTGGCATTCGCCAGACCATGATAAATTGGTTCATATAGCTCCAGGCATTAAGCTATGAATAACCAGTATAAACTGACCGTTGAATGTGTCCAAAGATCATGCGAAGTGAGACCATAATAAAATGGTTTTTGCACCTTGATGTGCTGTAGTGAAATGGAAACGTGGTTTCTGTTATTTTCTATTTTCTGTATTCAGTCAAATTTTTGTGTCTGTAAGGTTTGTGCTAAATTAGCTCTTATTATAAATGGGTTTGGTATCTTTTTAACTAAATGTTGTTAGTATTAAAGATTGTGATGAACGAAAGTATTAATACTTTAAAATGTTTTAACAAACTTCGTCGAAGTTGTTAATCAAAATACATTCTGAACCTTCTTTTGTATCGTTTTTGTTTGGTGATGTTAACGACATTCACATACTAACTGTTTTAAAATCACATCAAAGCTGTACCCAATTTAATTTAGCACTCAGTACACAGGTGACTGACTCCAACATAAAATATAGATGCAGTATAGTATAAAGCGACGTTCAACACAAAGCAACTCGATGGAAAATATCGAAAATAAAAAATATATGAATAAAATCGACATTTGAATTCACCGAAAGTTATTTTTGGGTACATGCTCCGATCCGTTTAATAATGCATCGGTTGGAGCCTTCCGAATCACTTCACACTGGCTATAATGAAAACTCCGAAATATCGATACCGATATCGTAACACGTACACCCCTATCTGTTATGATATTGGCGTTATAACAGCGAACCGTTTCAATTCCAAACTAATTCTCTCGAATATAGGGCTGTGCGTATTATAATCGCGTGATTCGAGTTGACTGAATCGATTATGATCGACTCGTATGTTCATTTGTTTTCCTTTAATAATGAGGAAGAGGAAATTAAATTCGTAAGCAAAGATATATACGAGGGATATATTATATATAAGAACTAATTAATATGGTTATTGAGCGCGTGTTTGTGATTATATTTTGTTTACATACCTACGTAAATAAACACGTTTTTATGTATATTTTTGGATTGTTACAATCGATATAATGATGTAATTTCCTTATTGGTTTCGTGTTTAAAATCTTTGTTACAATTATAGGAAATAACACGTTTCCTTTTAGTTTTAAAATATACTAACATGTTTTTACTTACCGTCAGTGGATTCTGCTAACGTGGCGACTAAAAGCGCTAAAAGCGCCACCACCCACGACACCCGTCTCATCTGAAACAAAGGCATAATTACACATTAATTACTGTTACTGAGGTAAAAGAGTAAAAACTTGTGTTAAATCTAAATAAGAATTCACTCAGATACACACACCAACAAACGATAAGTGAGATAAGTAAGATTTTTTTTTAATTGGAACAAGCCCGCCACTACCTCCCAAAAGCGCTGTAACCCTGTAAGCCAGGATCTACAGTAGATACAACCATAAAAACACCGGAACACTGAAGTCCGGCGCGTCCCAGGGACATGAGTAACTGTCTTGGTTCCCGCAACGAAGTGAATCAGAAGATATATAAAAGGAGAAGAAAAAAAAAAACGATAGTTTCCTCGGTGAGTTACTGAGAAAAGATAAGTATAATACATTTACTGCTGTACCTCTTCCGTGGATTTTATGTTCCGTGTATTCTATTATAAGAGCCAAATCGTGGCGTTCCATAAAAATTAAAGGAATTTTTTCTGTGTATCAAAGACTTTTTTAGTAACTATTTAATCACTATTCGCTTAATCAAGAACTAGGTAAATTTTGGCGTCAAATTCACTAACAAGCGAAGAAATACCTACATAAAAAATCTAACTCTATTTATTTCACTATAATATGATCTAACAGCCACAGAGTCAATAAACTCAAAGGTTCTCACTTCGCCACACAAATTCAATGTGTACCTCTAGTGTTACCCACAAAATTTATAAATAAAATGGTCAAACTTTTCAAATTGGATCAAATATTTGTGAGCCAATGTTTGTTTCGATATTGGGTATAAAATGGAATGGAACTATGAACAGATAAATAAAAATGTTAATAGATTTTGAGGTAAGTTATAGAGGATTCGTCATGGAGGATTTTGTAAATTCTTAAACAATTATACTAATAATTGTTTAGGAATTCCTTGACTTGAGAAATGACTGCCTCGTTGGCCGAGTGATCGCAAGTGCGACTGCCGGGCAAGGGGTCTCGGGTTCGATTCCCGGGTCTGCCAAAGTATTACTGGTTTTGTAAAAGCCTCAATATTAGCACGGAGTCTGGAAATGTGCCCGGTACAATAGGCTCACCCCCTATTACATGGGACTTATAACATAAATAATGAAAGGTGGGGGGTTACATTGTACAGTGGTATAATGTACACCTCTGATTACCCCTTCGGGGATAAAGGGCGTGATGTTATGTATATATGTTTAGGAATTACGTTTCAAATAGGTAAATACGAATGTGATTATAACAGACAAATCACCTATAATAATCAGAGCCGCCCATTTACGTTGTTAGCTTTTTAGATAATAGTTAGATACAGTTTGCTAACACATAAACCTGGTCGAACTGTTCCACAACAATTTAAGAATAATCATCTTATAAACTACACTTAGAAAACTGACTACGCCCCCCACTTTTTTGAAGTCGGTTAATTAATATACTAAAACCTTCTCTTAATTGTAACAAACACTTTTCTGAAAACCGCATCAAAATCAGTTTAGTCAATGTATATTTATACATCTATACTAATATTATAAAGTGAAATGAAATGAAATGAAAAATGTTTATTCGGCATAAGACATGCACGCCAGAAAAGACACATAAATATAAAAAAAGCATAAAAACAGAAAAATTAAAAGATAAAAGTAAAGGGGAAAAGTTTGTTTTTTTGTTTGTTTGAACGCGCTTATCTCCGAAACTACTGATTCGAATTGAATAATTCTTGTGTATTCTTTTGTATTGGATAGTCCATTTATCAAGGAAGGCTATAGGCTATAAAACATCTCGCTACGACCAATAGGAGCCGAGCAGAGCGGGTGAAACCTAGCGCTGGTAACCTAACTAGTATACTCATATAGGTCACCCTGATAACCTTATTCTTATTTTAGTTAGTTAAAATACCGTCATAATGTATACGTATTTATTTTCAAAAATAATTACATCAAGTACCTTTAAGTCTCTGAGGTATAAAATATTACAAAAAAGCCAAATAACAAGCAAACTGAAGTAAGCTAAGCCTATCATCTCAAATTCCTCCTGAAATTTTGAAATTACAATAATATAGAGTTACGAAAGTCCCCGGCTCACCCTCAATTAGTCCTATTTACAGAGGAGGATCGCCCTCATTCAGTATTTGACCAAGGAAAGGTTAATTCATGTTTTACTTACTATTAAATGTCTAGTTACGTCATAGCTTGTCAAATAGTCTGCGTGAGGTAACTTAGTATTATTTTGAATGTGAACGATGTTTTAAACTGAGTTTAAAATGTGAACTGGCCATGTAGCATGTTTGTTATCGCAATAAAGTGACTTAGTAGTACCTCATGCATCTATGATTTGACTATTTTCAAGTAACAACAAATACTTGAATAACTAATGGTGCGATTAATCTCACAGGCGACGGCGTAGCAGTCAGCCCCCAAAGCATTCTTCAAGCGACGTAATAAGCCAATAACTCCACAACCCTTTTGATAGTATCAAGGGGAAATTTTCTTTGGCCCACAAATTCGCTTTTCAAGTTTTCAACTCACAGAATTTTCTACAAGCATTTTATTTGAGCATTCGTAGAGCGCGCTACGAGACCGCTACGAGAGCGTAATTGCTACGGGGCTACGAGGCTACGGGCTACGCCATGATTGCGCGTCGGACCGCGTTCAGCGGTAAACCGACAGTTTTATATTAATTGACTTCTTTGTTTTATTTCACTGGCAACACTAACTTTTGAATGTGGCCGGTTAAATTTTGATGACACGTTTCAATCTGTGCTTTTATAGGTGCAGTTAAAAAGTTTGCCGCGGTGAACGGACGATTGGTAAAGACTTGTAATTATTGTACGTAAGTAAGGATATTAAATTTTGCTGTTTAAATGCTCTGAAAGCTATTACGAGGGGTGTCGAGAGACGTTATAGTACGGCTCTCAACGTTCCATAGATTTGAAACGATAGCGTGCTTTTGTACAAATAACTACTTTAGTAACTACGTTAATTTATACTAATGGCTCGACTGACTTTGTATTTCACATAAGACAGGGGCACAAACCAATTTCGAAATACATTTATAGGTTCGGTGTTATTACTGTATAGTTCAAAATATAAAATTTACAACATTTTGATCGACTCTGAGTCTTCACAACCAAAAAATTTGAACATTTAAATTATTCATCGATCCATTTGTTTTGGGCGGAAAATCATCTAAGCCTTCTCCTGCCCGGGTGGCATGATCGATCCATAAACATGTATTTCATTAATGAACTTTATGAATATCACGCAATAAGGTAAAGGCAGATAGATATACACAAACCATACTACACGCTTACTGTACCCGACTGTACATAAAGGCAGTGTTACACTGAGCCGCATATTACTTGCATTACAACCATTACGGGAACAGCCACAACGGTTTTATGTGCGGTGACCAGTTCACTGCGTCTGCCCTGATACACTGCGAGCTACTGTATAGTGACGTCACTGCACTCGACTTGTGTTGAAGTGCGTGATTGGCTGGCAATTTAAATGTTGTGTGGGATAGATATATATAATTTTCAAATATATCTATAAGTGGTCATTTAATTCTCTGAAAATGCTGTAATGGAAATGTATGAATACTGTAAAAGAGGTCCGATATCCGATGCGAAATGAGTGTAGGTAGTAACATTTTGTTTGCACTTCTACCTTCATTTTCAAGAATGAAGTTGATATTATCATATTTTTATAATTTTATTATTCCACACTAAAAAATAATCAGTATTTTTGGAGAAGTACGGCAACTAAATATAAGTGGCACACAAAAAATACTTCACAACAACTAGAAGCACAATTTCGGACTTCGCACTATTGCTGAAAATAAGAACAAACTTCAAGTGCACTTCACAACTACTCAAGTCTCAACTTACGAATCGAATCGATATCCTTTAGGAAAGTTACGCCGTTGTGTCCCAGCCCTATAATACGTGGCGCACGTGTATAAGCGGCTTGATTACACAGACCGAACTCACTGTTTATACATGAATAATTAAAGTGAACGGATCACAATGGCGACTTTGCATCAAACGAGGCATCGTGTTAGTCAGAGTACGGAGGCCGTAAGGATTCGTTTTGCTATTTGTAACAACAACAAAACTTTGCTATTAGCACCATTTTTATTCTTAATAGGATGGTGTTTGGCGTTCTGTCCTGACGAATTGGGCCCCTTAACGATAATAATTTGCCATGTACAAAAATAGATGTTTAAAGACATGTTGTAATAATTGAATCCGCAGAAGGCAGTTCAATAAGTCCCTGTTACATTTTTGTCCTTAGATTAGAGTATAACAATGTTAAGTGCCGATCACTTATCATCAGGTGTATCATCTTTGTACGTTACTAGCTACTTCCGCACGGTTTCACTCGCTCTGCTCGGCGCCTATTAATTGTAGCGTGATATTTTATAGCCTATAGCCTTCTTCGATAAATGGGCTATCCAACACAGAAATATTTTTTCAAATCGGACCAGGAGTTTCAGAGATTAGCGCGTTCAAACAAACAAAAAAAACAAACTCTTCAGCTTTATAATATTAGTATAGATAGGATGGTGTTAGCCAGGTACAAAAAAAATGTTTAAAGACACCTGGTGATTACTAAATCCACAGAAGGGAGTTCAATAAGTCCCTATCCCATTTTTGTCCTTAGATTAGAGTATACTAATGTTAAGTGCCGATAACTTATCATCAGGTATATCATCTACACGTTATTATAAAAAAAATACATTACTGACATAGTTGGTGAATAATTCTTTATAAATTACGTTTAAAATAACCGAATTCCATCTCCTCTTTTCCGAAGTCGGTTTGTTAACCTCTTATCTGCCGGCATGTAAGACACTATACACCTATATCTACGTTCCCAGCACATCATGGGTTAATATACTAAAACATTCTCCTAAAAGTAGCAAACACTTTTCTGAAAACTCCATCAAAATCGATTCAACCAATCACGAGCTAATCGCGCACAAACATACACATACCGGACAAACTGAGAACCTCCTTCTT